TATAACATGAAAATCTTTTATAGAAATAGTCAAGTGTTTTATTGATTTCAAACATTTAATATAAAAAGTCGTGAAGCAAATATGACACCGACCTTTATCAAGGTTGAAATCATATTCAAGCATGCCTAAATTTTGTTTTGCACTTGTATGAATTCTTGTTTTCAAACTTGTTTACAAGTTTCTAAAGGTTCATTTCCCCATTTGGTATTGTTATGAACAAAGTTAATATATAACACATCACTAGTAGCATTTGTTGATAACATGTTGCATTAACTCTTTCTTGCAATTGTTTTTAAAACTGTCATTTGTGTTAGAAATGTATTGCCAATTGTTGAGCATAATTGAGGTATATTTTTGTGTTAGAAATGGGTTGTCGATTGTTGGGAAAACGTTAAGATTTGTATTCATAGATCTAATTGAGGTATATTTGTGTTAGAAATGAGTTGTCAATTGTTGGACAAACGTTTGGACTTGTATTTATAATTCTAATATATGTATATTTCAAATTCTATTTAATAACACAATTTCGTAAACTTGTAGCTATGTCGACTAATACCGATAGATGATGAATGTATAAACGAATAAATAGGAATGAGACTATAATTCCAGTTTTCCAAGTCAAAATAGTTGGATTTTGGATTTTGTTTTCTCTAATGAGCGATCTATGACAAGATGTCCTTGAAGAAATGTCAACTTCAAAAGTTTAAAAATGGAGAAGAGATTCATATAGACTTGTTAAGAATATGATTCATGATCAATTATAGTCACTGGTATGCACATAGTAAATTAGAACTTGAACTTCAACAACCACAATAAACAATAGTGGACAAAGATTATAATGAGTTTGATGATGTTGAACAAATGGTGATGGATAAAAATGTTCCCGGTACATCAAGTACGTGTGACGAGCAAGAACCAAATCAACATGCACAACGTTTCTATGATATGTTACGAGCTACGGACGAGCCGTTTTGGGAGGGATGCCAGAGATTTTCAAAGTTACAGGCAGCGGCAAAGATTTTGAATTGGAAGCAGGTTGCAATGTACCAAAGACAACCTATAATCATAACCTTTACATGGTAAAAGAAATGTTACCTGATGGCGAACAACTGGTTGGCTAAAATTTTGTGTGTATCACTATTTAGTTTGAGTTATCATTTGTTGGACAAATGTTAAAATTGTTTTGGTTGGAAACGTCTCATTTACAGCCGTCATGCTATCGAAATTTACTTGTAATCTTTTTTAAATCATAGGATGACTATTCAATGAGTCTCATCCAAAGATACGACGATGATCCCTCCACCTATCCCTTAGTTGATACAGAGTTGTGGGAGCAGGCGGTTGGGGGAAGCAAGAAAGGCCGGCTATTTGGGTTTGGGTCCAACTAGGATCCCAATTGGGTCTTGACTGAGAACTCTACACTAGGTGGTCAATTGTCTTCTGATAACCGGTTGTGTGCCTCTTTTCCTTTGATGATGTTTATATATTTAGTTTATAATTCATATTAAATATTATAACGTTTTCTTTGTTTTATAGGAAATTGATGCCTTAAGGACCCAAGTTAGAGATTTACAGAAAAAAAACGAGCGTTGGCCAACGAAGGAGGAGCTTTGACGGGTGGATGAGGAGTTTCGGAGGGCGGATGAGGAGCGACGGCGGGCAGATGAGGAGCGACAGTGGGCAGAAGAGGAGAAGCATCGGCATGCGTTAGATGAGAGATGGGGAGAAACAATATGAAGATATGACTGCTTTGGTCAAGCAACTCAGATAATATCAGCAGTTCCTGCCGCCACAATTATAAATATTTGTTTGTTTTGGAACAATTTAGTTTTTGTTTGGAACAATTGTGTGCTACTTTGGTCGGGATAATTGTATTGGATACTTCTTGTTTTTTAGTTTAATGTATGATGTTTAGTGGAATTTCATCTTTTTAGCTTTTTTTTTTTTTAATATTTACAGGATTTACAGGTTTTAAATACAAGTTTTACATGTTTTAAATATATGCAGGAAACATATTTTCTGGAGCTAGGTGATTTTCCGGCAGATTAAGAAATAAAATTAAAAATTTTAATAATTAAATTAAATTTCCAAAGGAGACATCACCGGCGCTGGTAATTTAATTCAATTTTTTTTTTGGATCTTATTAGTAATTTCTTAATTTAATTAAGATTTTTTAAATAAACTCAAAAAAGACGGTTGCTAATTTCCAGCGGCCATTTTCCGCCGAAAAACCAAGAATCCGCTGGGAAAAAAAATCATCGGCGCCTCATTTTCCGGCTGCCAATCAGCAAGAAACTTTGTTTTTTGACGGATTTGACCACCAAAGAAGGTAACCAGTTTGATAGTGATAACTTTTTCATGTATAAAGTGGCAAGCAATTTTGATATGTATAGTGCATTCAAATAACATCAAAGGAATTAAGTGTTTCATTTCCTGGTGTACTCTTTAAACCTGGTGGATATCTATGAGGTTCATAACACCTTGCTATTATGTTCCCTTGAAATTTGCACTAAGTGCAATATAGATGATCTTCCCTTCCTCATTTGTATGTATTGTCTTGATTAAGATGACCACCGATAATTGAGCATTGAAAATCATCGACGATGGATCCATACTAGTGAGGTCTTCCTCTACTTTCTTCCCAGACCATTAATGCGAAAACATTGTTAATAGGAAGTATGGGATCCATTACAAGGATCTGACTTCGAATATGTGAAAAGGAATCGTTTAAATCCATAAAAATATGATGTATTCTGATTTGAAATATGATTGATCATCCTCATTGCTCCATAATCGGTCTGTCTGCAAGCATAAGTGGAGCAATATTGATTGAGTTCCTCGATTAATAACTTGAGTTTTGTATAGTAAACTGCTACTGAATATTTGTTTTGGCTAAGACTTGTATATCACGATGGATTTGAGGAACTGCCCATTACTTTGTTGAAATCTCTCTGAAAGATTACTCGAGATTTCGTAGTTTGACTATATAAAGAGAATAATTCCAAATATCTCTTTGAAACGCAGTTGTGAATCCAGACGATGATGATGATGTTATTGCTTTGTATCCATTGATTCATATTGGCTTGATCTGAATCATCTGGTTTGGTTAGGGATCCCATCTATGAAACTAATTTTAATTTTTCATAGAACCGTTATTTTATTTGAACGACTCCATGAATAATAGTTTTTTTCTAGTGACGGGATGGTTAACGATGAGTAATTATGGATTGTCAAATGTATGAAGGATACAAGAGCGTGTAGGATCAATTGCAAAAGATCCGGAACGAACGAGAGATTGTGTTCAGGCATGAGAAGTTGAATAATTTGTGATGCTTCAGATGAAGGAAGTATAGCGCTCTGATACCATATTATATGTTTGGAATGAATTTTTGTATTGACCGAAAAAATAACTCCTATGTACGTTACCTATTTATATGAACCATCAATTGTAGGGGATACTGTAACACCCTAAAATTTAAACGAGATAATACATTTCGTACAGTAAAAAAATTCCATAAATGTAAAGTGACTTACAACTCTTGAAAGGAAAGTTCACTAATCAAGCACAAAATCAAGAATTAAAACATAAATAACAACCTAAGAATCTAATCTCGAGTAAACTAGATTACAGTTATCATGTCTCCAAAAACTCAACTTCCACTCAAGTGCTCCCCATTGATCTCTACCCTTGATGCTTCTCTGATAGAACCAACCAAGTCTCTTAGGCGGTCTTAGATTCGCTACTAGTAAGATCTGAAAACTGCATAATCAAAAACAAGTGTTACGCTTGACGTCTAGTGAGATTAGACCATAATAACTCATATAGTAGATAAGAGAAATAATTCAAGGTGTTACCCAAACTGCAATAGTGGCACAATACCATGCACCACAACAAGTTGTCACAACTACCTTTAATGTCTACTCTAGGGAATTTCACCTTAAGGACTCTTGAAGCTCAGCGCATACCCATTCCTCTAGACAAGTTTCACCTCAAGAGTCCGGACGGATCTTTAGTGTCTACTTACTAGCAACTCAAAAAGTCAACATAATCATAATCATATCCTCAATTTACCTAATCCTCAACGTCATATTGGTGGATAATTAAGAGAATAGCCGAGGGGGTAACACAATATTTTTTTTCTTGTCAATCAGTGTGTTCCCGACGTGTGTCATGTGTTAGTACCGTCCCCTCTCTCATAAACCCACCAACTCTCTTATTTCTCTCTTTGATATTTATGTATTTTTTCTAGTAAAACTTGAAGTTCAAAAGTGTTTTTATAAAAAAAGAATTTAATATTTTGGTCAAGTCATCATGATGTGCTACACATACATACAAATAACATGAACTCTATTAACATAGATTTGGGATTATGTGAGACCAATCTGTTTTCGTGAGCACATGAGACCACCTTTTTACTCTTGAAACTTCATAACAAAATACTATGAAGGTAACCTTCACAGTGTTTTTTTCTGTGAAGTTTTGGATTTTTTTTACCTTTACCATGAATTGCTGTGAAGTTTCAAGTGTAAAAATGGGATCTCACACGAACCCAACCCATTAACATGTGCCATGTAACCGGGATCCAAACCAAGATGTTGTCAATTGTTATAATAGGTAGATTTTAATGTTGTAATAAAGAATACTTTAGAAATATAATGTTGGAAATACAAAATTATATAATAAAAAAATAAATTACTATTTCTTACCTTGTAATACTTTATGTTTTGGCCCAAACTGCTATAAGCCCAATTCCCAAATAATATATTTAAGCATCAGCCCATCAGGCCGCCTCTTGCTTCTCATTTCGGACGACCTGATGGACTGATGCCTAAATATATTATTTGGGAATTCTCACTTCGGACGGCCTGGTGGGGTGATGCTTAAATATATTATTTGGGAATTGGGCTTATAGCAGCATGGCCCAAAACATAAAGTATTACAAGTCGTTCGGAGTTCCATCCGCCCGAATCCTTTCCAATTCCAAGATCAGTAAATCGTGACCTAGTTTCCAGATTTCAGCCAACTTCGAAGGGAATACAGGGACGATTCACTTCAAGCATCCAGTAAATTATCAGAGAATCGAAGCAGGGACGATACACGGTAGCGCTATCATTTATCACGCCATGGCTGAGCACCGTCAACAGGAGCCAAATCCAGATGGAACCCTGTAATTTTGACACCATCAAATCATCCCACTTTCACAGACAGAGCCCCAAGTCCCAGGTTTATTTATTTATTATTATTTATATTAAGTTTTTCATTTCGATGCTACTAATATGCTACATTCATGGCTTTGAATTCAGTGGCGGATGGAGCTTGTGAGGGTAGGGGTCCGGGCCCCCAATAAATAATACACATGAAAGCCCAAAAAAAAAATTACATGTATTTTTTAATTTTACATATTTGGGCCCCCAACCATATGAGGCAGGAGGCCCCTCTGCGCTGCTAGCTCACTCTCACTTCTCTTCTAAAGTTCTTCAATCTTCATCGCCTGCCGCCTGCGCCTGCGAGTTCTTCTTCAATATGCGAGACGACCGACTGTGCCTGCTTGACTGCTTCTTCAATCTTCATCGCCTGCGCCTCAGCGCCTGTGTCTCTGTTTGACTGTTTCAATCTTCAATTCTTCATCGCCTGCGTCTCTGTTTGACTGGGTAAATATTCTGTATTTCTAATTTCCAACTTCATATATATAGTAGTATTTTAGGTTAATTTTGTGGTAATTGGTACAGTGGTAAATGCTTTAGGTTAGGACCGTTAGGTATTTATTTTAGGTTAATTTTGTTGGTTAATTTTGTGGTAATTGGTAAATGCTTTAGGTTAGATATTTTAGGTTAATTTTGTTGGTTAATTTTGTGGGTAATTTTGTAGGCAATTAGGCAAATCAAATGGAAAGATTTTTTAAAAGGAAAGCATCAACACCTGAATCGAGCTCTGCTCCTTCGATGTCTTGCGAAATTGATTTGAAAGATCTTCCTTGGGATCCGGCCGATAGGAAAAAGATTTCGGAATATCATCCTAATTAAAGGGATGAAATAAGGAGAAAATATTTGCTTAGAGGACCTTGTCAACCACGGGGTCATGCATTTCCAAAAAAATTTGTCGGGAGTAAAGGAAGACGTTTTTATATCGTGCCCCCTACAACATATTTTTCTGAGTCCGCCACTGTTTGAATTTGTTTACTTGACCATATTCTTAAATTTTAATGGGATTGGAATCTGTCATTTTGTTGTTTATTGATTAGGGATTTTAGACTTTTAGTGACTGTGGGGTTTTAGTTGAGTTTGAAATTTTTTTCTTGGATTTTTTGTTGATTACTTGACTATGTTCTTAAATGATAATGGGATTGGAATGATTGAAATATGTGATTTTGTTGTTTATTGATTAGGGATTTTAGATTTTTAGTTTGAGTTTGAAATTGTTTACTTGGGATTTTACTTGTTTTCAATACGGTTAGTGCTTTAGGGCTGATCTGATTTAGTGGTTTTAGTGACTGCTTTGGTTACTCTCTACTGATATTATTTGTTAATTTTTGGTCATGTTACAGAAACCTCTTCCAAAAATACTCAAAAGGGAAGTGATGATATTGATCTTAATGCTCTAGATTGAGATCCTGGTTTGCGTCCTCAAATTTATGAATATCCTATTAATAAGCAAGATACATTTTGATGAGCTTATATGAATCTTGGTCCCCTACAATGATGAGCAATGTTTGACATTTTCATATTAATGTGTTGTTTAAGAGTTTTAATATGTTATAACTTTGGATAGTGTATTTTTTGTGTTTCTGAAACTATATGAGATTAGGTCCGGCCCCTGCTGTTAAAAGGCTTGTGTTCCACCCCTACCTCAAAGAGCCATTGGTGAAATAAAGTACCCTCAAGTACTATGGAAGAAAATCATCCAATTGCTTATATGACACATATAAATTGTATATGTGTTTGCTTATATGACACATATAATTATACAATAATTGATCTAAAGGGATGGGACATGGGCTATGTTTCATTATTTCAGCGGTGTTTGCTACAAATGTTAAAAAATGTTGCTGGTGAGGGTTTATTCATAATCACAGCACTGTAGGTATTGGAATTGTGTTAGTTCTTGCTTGATTGCATAGCATGCATTTCTATATTCACTGTCAAGTTGTTTTGGCTATGCTTAATGAAATCAGATTATAAAGTGATTGGGTATCTCCTTTGTTGCTGTATTTGTTTGATCTCTTTTAGTCTTTTGAAACCCTCTTGTCGTGAAAATGTACATGCTATGTGTGTGTGTTCAATCCAACCAACCCAACCCGCACGGGTTGGGTTATACTTTAAAAAAGCTTTGAACTGGGTGGGATTCTAGGCCGAAGTAGTTGGGTTTGGTTGTGCAACCGCCCCAACCCGTCAAACCCAACCCGTCAAACCCAACCCATGTGCATGCCCTTTTCAATCGATTCATTGATTCATCCAGCCTTGTGACTCTAGCAGTTTTCATTGGGTGCAACCTTATGGTGTGTTTTTCTACTTTGGTTTCTGAGTTTTAATTGATTGTAATCTGCTATTTATTGTGACCAAGTTTAAGTACTATGCTTTCTGAGGCTTATCTCGCGACCAAACTTTTTAACTATGATTTTTTACTTTTAATACCCGTTTGTTTGACTACTGTGTTTTTTCATTTTCACCGCAATCTGTGTAAATGTTTATTCATTTATGTTCTATTTTTTATTTTTCTGATATGGTTTCTATATTTTGTACGGAAATTGTAAGTGCGCTTTTGGTTTCTTGTTAGTTACTCTTTTAGCTGACGGTTTTTGTCGATTATGTATTACATTTGGCTGACAAGGTTTTGTTTATAGTTTTTGATTTGAGATTTGATGATCATGTGATTGGAAGCCAATCTATGGGTATTTGAATTCTGTGGGAGAACTGATATACTCTTCATTATTTCTACGAGAAAATTGTTGATTYTTTGATTTGTATAGAGTTATGTAATTTAAGAGAAGCTTCTATTTGTGTATGTGTGTGATTTAAGTGAATTACAGAGCCGAATTGAAATAAGTTTGTTTTGTTAGGTTTCTAAAAGCTAGATACGTTGATACCTGATAGAGGTTTGCGGTTTTGGCCTAATCCAAACTGGACTGAACCTCATTATTGACACCCTTAAATTACACTGTACATAACGAGCTATTTCTTATAGTTGTATGTGTTTTTAAAAAAATACATTGTGTCTCAGAATTTGATTCAATATATGGTACCCAGATAAAAACTTATAAGAAATGTTTAATTTTTTGTAGGGCTTTTAAAAATTACTTGGGTTCATTCAACTCCATCTTACTGAAGCGTACTCCAACCTCTATGGCTCTATCTTTGATTTTCATATGTTTGCTTTTCCTCATAAAAGTTTCAATGTAATTTTTAATAATGTGTTGAAATGAGTTCTGGTCATTGATGTTCTAATCTTATTTACTGTTTTTACATCTGGACCATTATCAGGTATTAGTTTTTGAGAACACAGACTGCAAAGTGTAGGCTAAAGGTGCAATTGGGAAAGATGCGGTTACTGGCCCGTGCAATATCTCAATTGTCTGCTAATTCAAGGGCCGCACAGTTGAAAAACGCCACAAATTCAGTAGCTTATAATTTTCTTTTGAGCAATCGGTTTCTGTCATCTAGCTCCACTAAAGGGGGAAATGAAGGTGATATCGATTGGGGATCTGAAACTACATGGTCAAGCACATTTACAAAAGAGCATTTTGACGGGGAGGTTGTAGGCCAAAAAAATGGTGGTGGTGACCAAAAAATTGGTGGAGCTGATGGCGGTGTTGGTGGGGGCGTTGATAGAGGAGGAGTGGCGTTGGGTTCATCTCAAACTGCATCTGCAAGTTGGGAGGAAGATGAAAAGATAAAGAGATTGGCAGCTGAAGCTTCTCGGAAAGCTAATGAGTTTGCAAATGGATGGAAGGAGAGGATGCGTGAAACCAACATATTGATGAAGCAGGTGATTGAGCCCGGAGCAAGAGGGGCATATCTGAAGGACTCGGAGAAGGCTGAAATGTATCGACTTCATAAGGAGAACCCGGAAGTTTATACTGTAGAGAAGTTGGCAAAAGACTACAGAATTATGAGGCAGAGGGTACATGCTATTTTATGGCTCAAGGAAGATGAAGAGAAAATGGAGAAAAAGCTTGGGCATCCTCTGGATGATTCTGTGGAGCAGTTGCTTGACAAGTTCCCTGAGTAAGTCATCCATTCCTCATCATGTATGTTTTTAGATGAATGCAATATAATGATATTTGTTGTAATGTTCCTCTCAAGTGTTTTGATTTTGAATCCTAAAGTACCTTTTGACCAAACTGAAAACGAGTCTATGGTTGAAGGATGAAATGTAGCTGGATATAAAAGGACAAAAGGCATTTGTGCTGATTGTTAATTAATGTAAACAGAGGCTTTTGATCCTAACCTTTGAAGTAAAGAGATTGACTGCTAGAAGTTTATCCATTGAAGAATATGTGATTTTATAGTTTTTGTATATCATATTCTCTCTATTTTGATGGTACCCATATTGTTGTTGTGCAGATTCTTTGATTGGCATGATAGGGAATTTCATGTTGCCACTCTACCATACAAGCCAGATTTCAAAGTCATGCCCGAGGGTTGGGATGGCACCATCAAGGACCAAGATGAGGTGCTGTATGAGATATCAATGAAAGAAGATGAGATCTTATATCAGGAGTTCCTTGAGAAGTTCAACTTTAACAAGATGAAGGTACGTGAACGCTTTAGAATCTTGTTATTCTTAACTGGGGAGTAACCTGGAAGTCAGTCAAATAAGCAAGCATGACGCCTTATTTAAAACTCTAGAACCTTTAGGTCTTGATATATAGAACCTTGGGCAATAATGGTGGTTATTTATGACCAATATGTATGGATTCCAACTGAAGTTAGACGCGCACAGAGTGTCGAGAGGGGGATAGGCAGGCATAAATGAGTTTCTAAAGTGGTAAACATTGGCTCTTATACATGTGAGAATATGTGAAACCTCATTAGATTACTCTTCAGAAGAGCCATTAAATAGAGAAGGGAGGTTTTAACATATATTGAAGAGAAATGGTTCAAATCTAGCCGATTTAGGACACCAACAGATAGATACAAAGCAATCATGTCTAATACCTTATCCTATAGAACTTGGCTGTCCTTTGTGAAATGTTGATGTGGTAGTGGTTTCATGAACAGATTGCTGGACAAGTGAAAGTCCATAAATACAGCAGGAGGCGTCCATCAGAGGGATGGGAAATCACGATTGAAAAAATGGGTCCTCGTGGGAAACGTGGGGATGGTGGTGGCTGGAAGTTCAAGAGTGTGGCAGACGGATCAACCAGACCTCTCAACGACTACGAGAAGATGTTTGTAAAGCGAGAGAAACCTCGCAGGCGACGCAAGATCCTCCATCCGAAGTAAAGAGAAACAAGCGGTCGTAGTTTTTATTTGTTGATGAAGAATTTGGTCCCTTCTGTTCCTGTCAAATGTAGTAGCAAACTTTTGTTAGTTCTATATAAATTTTATGCCAAGGCTGAAGACATTTTGAGCAAAACCATGTTATATGCCATAAATTGAAATGGAAACCATATCATGTTGTTGGATATGTTGGCTGTTGATTTTTGGTACATTCCTTCCACCAATAATTATTTTCATTTCAAAATTTCTACTTTTTAAAACTTCTATGAATTATCTCCTTTATGATTTTCTTTATCATGTATATGTATTTAAAATTTTAATGTATATATAACCTTTTTTATATTTACACATTTTAAATGTCAGAACTATCAAGCATAGGGGTTGTTTGTTTACGTTCCATCAAGAGGCGGTCTCTGAATCGTTAAGAGATAAATCTTGTTTGGCAAAAAAATGTCTACCTCTTAATGGTTCTAAAACATCCTGAATGATTTTGTACCATGGGTGATGGGTCTCCTTTAACCATTCAGAGCTCTAATTTTGTTGAAAATAATTACCAGATAATTATATTTTCATTTTGCACTATATCATAAGAGTCTCTTAATCATTTTGACCACTTAATCATTCTGCATCAAATCATTTAGCAACTATCAAACAACCCCTAATTCACTTGTATTATTTATCAGATATCGAAGAAAAACAGTGATTAGCAACGTTAAGCATCTTTCTACAATTTCGATTGACAAAAATTTGGTGGATTAATCGTTTAAAATTTTTATAACGCAAGGATTATTCAGCTTCTTTCAAGTTGCGTTCATCAATTGAGTTTCTTTAATAGTGTTAATCTTTCAAATGATATAGCATTGAAGCAACAAGCCTTTTGAAAAGTAACTCAATTGTCCAAACATATCTAATCAAATACAATTACGTTCGCTATTATTTATTAAAAAAAACACCGCGGACAAAACGCAAGTAGACCTTTAAACATTGGCCTTCTTCTGGTGCTTAAAATTATTAAATGTTCCTGAAAATTCGAATCCAATACAAAATACAACTTGTATCATGTACGATGTAAGTTACTACATCGATTGAGTATGATCATTTTCGAGGGGAAACAAAGAAACATAAATAATTCTCCATGGATTTTTAAAATCAAACCAAACATATTTAATGAAAATATGGTCTGGAGAATAAGATGTACACGGACAGACATATCCTTTGTCCAGAGAGTAGATGGCATCAAGATAAACATAGAAATAAACAAAATGAAAATTTCTCAAATTTATTAAATCATAACCATCAATGCAATTGCAAACACTAATTTCTTTAAAACAAAACATTGCATGCTAAATTGTTAACTTTCTGAGTGCTTCTTCAACCCTAACATCTTGTTTAGGGCACCAACATAAGCTCTGACACTGGAGATAACAATATCCATGGATGCTCCTGTTCCACTGCCAACAAAACCACGAGGAATATTTTAGGTCCCATTTGTCTCGTGTATGATGGGTATGACCTATTTTTTGTAAGAAAAAAAATGCTCATAGTGATAGTTTAAACAATTCATGCAAAAGAGTTTGTAACGGTCAACTGGCGAACCCCTAATGGGTCCAAACTGTCCCGTCCCAAGAGCATCATGTGAAAGACAAATCAGATATACGCTGGCCCGCTAGTTAGCTGGGCTTTTAATTCTCCTCAAAGGGATTGTAACGCTCATACTGCGGCTGCCATACTTGAACTCTCTCGCCTATTTGTGCAAGTATTCCATCCCAAAAATTTCCACAAAATATAATAAAAATCCTAGCAAATTGCTTAACCATGTATATATTCTAGACCCCTGCAACTATTATCAGGACAGAGGAAAAGTTTGCATACATCCTACCCTCCAAGCCCTACATTTGCGTGAAATTTATTGGGTTTGTTTGGTTTATTAATTTGTGTGTGTGATTGTTGACCCTAAACAAAAAATTTCTTCCATGTAATGACCCCGTCTTCGTTTTAACTCGCATCAAGTACCCTGGCCCACAATCAAAGTCTTATTTCTTCAGTCAAGTATAAGCAACACCCACAAGATGAAAATGTCAATGATCGAAATGAATCATGCCTCTTAAGGAATCTCAAAGAACTTCAAGGCCACAGACGTAAAATTCTGCAAGGACACCCACGTCCTTACCCACGTAGGGACACCACAGGCATAAATTTATAATGGCGCATTCCCAAAAAATGAGAATAATACATACCTATAAGTCCTCGCAATTTTTTCTCCACTTGAAGCATGAGTTGCTATGTGGTTGTTTTCGCTACTAACTAGAACACGGGTGCTGGCTATAGCATCAATGCCTCCGGTTACAGCARACATCGAATACTCTAGCAGTTCTACAGGTGTCTGTAAAAGAGATATCATCAATCGGATGCCAATGTAAGGATTCGTGGATGCAACTTAAGATTCACGATTCAAACCTTAACAAGTAGATCAACTGCCTTATAAGCGGCATCAACTGGTCCAGTTCCAGTGGAGCAAGCAATGTGTTCTATCCCATCTTTATCTAATAATTTAACTGTTGCTGTAGAAAGACCAAGAGTACCACATGTAACCTGTGAATTATGATTTGAGTTCTGTTTATGGAGTTCTATACGAATCAATCTTGATTAAAAAATGAAGATAGTATGCAAGTGGGGTCCAATTTATACCTGAACATCTCCAAACTTCCAGAAAACTTGTGGCTGGAAAACCTCATCTGATACCAACGCTACTAAATCATCATCAGTGATAACCTGGAGGGGATAAGCGGATGATTATAGATAGCAGGCAGAACTATATAACTCGCATTTAATAGTGATACTCGATACCATTAAAAGAAGAGTTTTTTTACCTTCTTCAGTTCAGCTATGGATTTGAAGCGCCAAAAGAGATCATCAAGTTCCTTTCCATCTATGTCGTAACCAAGCTGAAGAGAAAACATAACAGATTTAATGCAGTATAAAAAAGGTGTCGTTCAGTTACAAAGCGATGAATTCAACAATGCACTTCACCTCAAAAAGTTTAGATTTTAGAGCATGTCGTCCACTGTACAAAAATAGTTGAAAATCATTAGAAATACCCAATCAACAGAACATGATCTTCTGTAAAGAAGCAGTAAGGGATGGGATAAGGGCTGGGTTATCAATGAACAACCCTGAGAGAGAGAGTGTGTGTGTGTGTGTGTATATATATATATATGCAACAGTTTGGTTTAGTTCTCATCTAATGCAGCGCATAATTTCTTTTCTTAATCGGGGTAAAGAAGTTTCAAAATTTCTTATTTTATACCTATTTTTACACGCAACTTGCTGATCTTGTAGCATTTGATGATGTAAATACCCGTTTACAGAAGATTTAAGTAAGTGTCACAGAGAAGTGGACGATAAACTTTGCATCCACGTCATAAAATGTTACAAGATCAGCAAGTTATAAATCAAAATCGACAAATAATTGAAAATGTTGCACTTTAGTTATATTAGATAGAAATTTTTGAAACTTCTTTACATTGATTGAGAAGAAAAAAAAACTTTGTTACACTAATTAGGAACTAAGGCAAACTTTGTTGTATGTTGCTGCATTTTACCCATATACATTGAAGAACTTGATACAAATAATCACAGAACATATATATCAGAAACTAGGCAATAAAAAATAACCAACTTTCATGCAACATACCTAAGTTTTCCAAGTGTAAGTCCAGATTCATTACATCGATGGAGTCCAATATCTTCAGGACAAATGATTTCATACGTGCTTTTGTTCTTTAGCATTCCATCCTACAAAATAGAACACATGACTATATCTAGTAAGTTGATTGAAAATTGTAAGAACAAGCCACATGACAATTTATACTTGAGCCACAAACTAGTAATAATCGGCCACAATGTCAAATAGATGAACTAAACAAAGTTATAGTTTAGTTAACTTTTACCATGGGAGAGGTGATGGAGAACAGATAATGAGTTCTTCAGACACAAGGTTTATAAAGCAGACTCTCATCAAGTAAGGGGGGAAGGGGTGGAATGTGCACATGGAATGTGCACAAAAGGCGGCAATCATGATTAATATTAAACCAAAGGATCAGCTGAGCGTTTCTTATAACCGTAACCAAAGACTGTTAAACATCCCCCAATACAGTTCACTTATAACAGAAGGAATGGTTCACATAAACTCAACGATGAGGGGACCACAAGGAATGCAGATATGGCGTCACTTGATGGTTAGATAGTTTGTTGCAGAAGGGCAGTTTGGGTAATCCTTATATGCTAGGGTTGGGAGTCTAACCATAAATAAGAGAGGGTGCAGTAGGTCTAGGCATGCAGAAATTTACTAATTCTTGTAATAGGAGACCCTAGCTTCTTGAATTGCTAGATAATTTTCCTTGCCTTGCCTTGTCAATCATTCAACCATCATAAATTCTACCCACCATTTAATTCTTAACAAAGACCAACCTGATGGATTCCACTTTCATGAGCAAAAGCATTTGCACCAACAATAGCCTTGTGTGGCTGCACCTGCAGTCCACTGTACTCTTCCACCTAAATAACACAAGTTCAAAGCGAACAGAGAGTCACTTGTTAAAAATAGCCTTGAATATATATATATAGAGACACGCACACAAATATATATACCATCTTGCTAGCCATGACAATGTGTCTTGTATTGATGCCGGTGTGAAGACCACCCAACACATCTCCTTTGCATTTTATAGTCATTACCACCTATGTTCAACAAAAAGTGTGGCACCCATTAGTTAAAGAACTTTTAAGCTAATGCATAAGTTAAAATGGTTTAGAAACCAATATCCTGTTCAAATTATCAAGAACAAGCAACAACACAAATAGGCATGTTACACTCACCTCTTCCAAAGAAGCATTACCAGCTCTCTCTCCAATTCCGTTTATTGTTACTTCTAATTGTCTTGCACCTGAATAAGCCCCCTGTAATTTGCTCAATAACCGAGGTGGCATTCTAAAACTTGTCAGAAGGTCATGGATTTAAAAGAAAAATGGGAGAAGGTCATTCAACCAATGGACCCTAGAATTCACATAGGTTAGCATACAAACGAAACACAAACTAAGAACATAACAAATGTATATGCCTACCTCTAAAGTATTGGCAGTAGAAAGTCCAAGATCATTCTGACAGTGGGTGGAAATAATGA